CCCCAAAGGACGTGTGGCACTTCTCCCAGGCTGGATTCTGCCCTGGGAAACGCCAGGTCAAGGGCTGATCCTGCTTGTGGGCAGAGTTGGAGGAGTGAGGCATCACTCAGGACAGGGAGGCAGCGACTCTGCCACGTCCCTGGGCCAGCTCTGGAGTTAGTGACTTGTATCCCACCGTGTCCTGCCTTTTGCTTTCACCAGGGTAGAGGCATTTTCTGTGATAACTGAAACCTGCTCCCAGCACGTGCAGAAGGTGGGAATGCCAAACCCAGAGACATCAGCCAGAGGAGTTTCACTCTGTTCTGCTGGGAGGACTCTTCATTCCGTGCCCAGTTTACACTTGTATTCAATTAATGGTATGGAACAGCGTGAGATTAACCAGCCCCTGTGTGTTTTACACCCAAGGGATGGCAGGGCTGGATGCTCTGGATGCTGTGCCAGGGCAGGGACAGGTGAGAGGCACAGCTGAAGCTTCTTGTGTCTTCCTAGTTCTGTTCTCACCTGCTCTGTACTTTGACCTGGGGAGCCACGAGCTCAGTCTCTGCTGGTGCAGTCACCAGGACAGACCCTGCTGCTGCAGACAGATGCTTGTCCCAGTGCCTTTTCCATCTGTGAAACAGGCCAAGCAGTGAATTCAATTATTTTTTTCCTAGCACATAAGCCACTAATCATTTATTGCATAAAAAAACCCCTCGTCTCCACAACTTTTGTTCCCGTTTTATCCAATTCAAACGCAGGCTAAAAAAAAAAGTTTCATTTTCTCTTTTTTTTTTTTGCAATCACAAAGATCTCAGCCCCATTGACTCGCTAATTGTAAGCACTCAAATGGTGAGGTTTAAAGTTACACTTAGCAGCTGTGAAACATTAGGGTGAAGTGATTACAACCTACTGGAGGATACCGAACATTTTTACAATATCTCAGGAGCATAAGGGAAAGACAACAGGAAATGGCGCAAACTTTTCCTACCCTGCACAGCAACAAGCCAGAGCAAAGGAGTGAGAAAATAAATGTAGAGACGTGGCACAGATGCAGTTTTGGAGCCTCAAAAAGTGACTAAGGAAGCTCTGGTGAGAGCCCCATGGATTTACCCCCTTGCTGGAGCAGTCAGAGAGGAGGGAGAGCTGCGTTCACAGATTTCACAGCTGCACTTTGCAGCAAAACTCTGCTCCTGGGGGTCTGCTGGGGTAGGAGGACGGAGGTCTTGGTGCTATTTTGCCCTTCGTCAGTCCTTTGCCTTTGCCTTCTGCCATCCTTGTCACCAGCAAATGTCACTCTGGGGCTGAGGAATGATGCTTGAGGTAGGACAACCCTTGGCTTGGAGGGTTTGTGGGGGTAGATCCCCATGGGGGCTCAGTGTTGCCAGCAAAGCAACCAAAACTGAGCCCCACATGTTCTGCAAAGTGCCATGAAACACCAGCCCTGATGGTTATACCCAGGCCCTGGGCTGGTTCTGAGGTTTGATTTCATTTGAACTCCAAGCTGTCACATTTGGAGAACCTTTGACTTGCCAGTTCTTTTCAAACAGCCTCCCATGATTTAAGCCTGCTACACGTGTGTGTTTATTACAGAAACCAGGGTAGGATAAGAAAGCAATATTTCATGTTAATTCATGAAATCTGAACTCAACTTTTAATAGAAGAGCCCCACTTTATGCACAGAGTGATATACAGTCTGCCCTGCTTTAAATGAGACGTTTTGCCTTTTGAACTCAGCAGGAGCTCACTGCTTACTACTACTGGAAACAGTTTAAAAACCTGCAAGTCCGCATGTCTTTTGGGCCCTTTGGTTTATATCATGGCACAACATTCTTGCTGGGCTGCCTGAGACCTCCTGCCAGCTGCTGAGCTTGAAAACCTGCTGTTTCAGAAACTCACCTGGAGTATTTCCACAGCAATGGAGCCACTCATCAAAATCCTGCAAAGTCCTCTGGTTATTTTAGCTTTAAGTGGGGTTTGGTTCAGGCCCTTAGACTGAAGTTCTGGTTGTGTTAGGGCAAACCTCTCGTAGGAGCAGCTTCTAGACAGCATCAAGTGACAGAAATACTCCCTCCTGGTGCCTGAAAAAGAGTTATCATATGGTTGCTGAGGTTAAGGAGGAGGAAAGGTGGCACTCAGTGGAAAAGGAGGTGGATTTTGTGTGTAGGGTAAAGGCAGGGCCATGGGTGGGAGCAGGAACGTGTTGTGAGTGAGGAACACAGTGCAGGGATGTGTTGAATCAGACCCTATGGAATTGCTGACTAATCAGACCCTATAGAATTATTATTTAATCAGATCCTATGGAGTTATTGCCAAATCAGACCCTATAAAATTATCACTGAATCAGACTCTACAGAGTTATTGTTGGATCAAACCTTACAGAATTATTGATGAATCTGGGGTCATCATTCATACATCTGAATGTAGGGATAACCATACAGAGTTATCAATGAATCAGATGCTATAGATTTATTGCTGTATCAGATCCTATAAAGTAATCAATGGATCACACCCTATACAGTCACCATTGCAACACACTCAGTTTTCTCTGGCTCACAGAGGAGCTGGAACTCAGTGGTTATTCTGCTGGGTCATCTGTGAAAGTATCAAATTAAAGTTAAATTAGCCACCTCATAGCAATGCTTGCTTTCTTTTTTTTTTTTTTTTTTTTTTTAAGCTCTAGGCTTTCTTAACAGTTTGGCTACAGGGCTATCAACAGAAGGGAATTTAGGACATTCTTTTCAATGAACCAGACTGAAAATATTTTGGTACAGCCCCAGTTTGTAGGGTTTTTTTTTTTCGAAACCCCCCACCCCCCCTTTCCCCTTTAAACAAAACATCCTGATTCAAAGGAGCTTCTTGCAGACTGGGAATTTCCACATGGCCATATTGCAGCACTTATAAAAAGTGATTTAAAGCCTGCCAACAACAAATACATTTGCAATGACACCACTCTGTGTTATGTGCTATCCTACTTTGTGTGCTCAGTAAGAACCAGCCAAGCTGTCCCAGGCAGGAGGGAGAAGAGTTGCCTTCCTTCCTCGGCGAGAACTTTGTCCCTTACCCCTGCTCCTTGGAAAGCCTGAAAGGAAACAAGCATCACGGTGACAACACAATCCCTTCTGTATGTGTTAATCTGGATTTTGTTTGAACTTTTGGAGCTGACCTTGGCTTGAACCGTGTTAAAAACCCTGACTGGTGTGGACTGACTTGACCCTGCGGTCCCATTTGTCCGCAGTGCCAGCCCTACCCTCATCCCCTTACTTCAAGCCATTATTTTACAGACAAAAAGGAACATAGCATTACAGCAGATATAGCCAGCAGGCCAGAGCTGTGAGTACTTACTTACAGGCAAACTCTCCTCTGATTTCTTCCCAAGGAAGTTTTTTTTTCGCTTGAGAAGGAACTAACTGAAAACCAAGCAAGAAACTGAAATTATTGCTGTAAACTCTCAGTTTTTATTAGTGTTTTCCAAGCCTGAAGAAAACCAAACCTTCTGAGTGGCTGTGCTACAGTTAAAAACAACCCCCCAAAAAAAAAAACAAGGCCAAGACTGAATTGAGTATTTGGTGTTTGGGGATGGAGTAGGAAGAGGGTGGTCGGTTCTGCATCCCTTGGTGTGGCTGGTTTAAGCCGTAAGAGTGCGAGAAGATTTGTGGGTTTAGATAGTTTCCTCCTCCTTGCCATGACTCAAACAGCTTCTATTAAAAACAAGTAGTGGGAAGGAAATTTCATAAGCTGACAGTCCCATCTCACTCTGCTTCTCGACACCAGTTGGCTGAGACGGAGGAATTCGTGTGGTTATGATGTGTGAGCCCAGGACTGTTTTATCAGCAGAGTTATGCAGAGCTAGTTTGCACTGTGCACGTTCAGAAGGTTCAGGCTCTTACATGGGTCTGCAAAGCTTCTGCTGCAGGATCCTGTAAGAGAACAGAGGGAGGTGTCTGTGCTTCCAGCACCCTGGTCCTTCAGTGAGATGGAGCATCAGGGCCCCAAGGAGCTGGAGATGGGCTCAGACACCCAGAGATGGGTGCTGGCTGTGTTGGTTTTCAGAGGTGCCAAGTACCTAAATTTAGGTGGCACACCACCTAAATACCTTGTTTTTAAAAATCCCATCCTTGCACACAGGGATGAGGAAGTGAGGAGGTAAAACCAAGCTAGACTGGCTGCCTAACAACCACTGATGGCTTTAATTAAAGCCCTGGAGTTAGTAAATATGCACAGTCTGGTCCAGGGAGATATACAAAGCCACAGTCAGCCCAAGCAACACTCCACCAACATTGCCATTTAAGCAGTTTCTTGTTTAACTTAGATTTATTCAATGACACATGCATTTCTGGACAGATATCCGAGTTCCAACGAACAACTTTTATAACCAAATATGAGAAATCTGGGACTGCAGTTAGTCAATTAAGTACATTTCTAAAATACATGACTAGAAGAAAACCGGAGCGACAGAGAGAATTCTTCCAAAGAACAAAAAAAAAAAAAGAAACATTGCCATTTGTAATACTCCTGGCATTGCTGAGTATCAGAAGGGAAGGAGAGCAGCAAGGAGATGCGACGAGGAAGGAAGAACATTATCAACCCTGTCCACAGAAAGTCCTCCAGTTTCCAGTCTCTCCAGTTCATCCATTAATGCTCGGCACTTTCACGAAGGGCGAGAGCTCCTCTGAGTTAGGGAGATTCCATCACCTCTCAACACACGGAACGAGCTGCGAATGGCCGCGAAACCCAAAAACGGCTTAGAAAAATTTCTCCTTGCCCAACCTCTCCCTGGAGACAGCGAGAAAAGAAGCCGCAGAGCTATGAGGACTGAAGAACAGAGCCTCTTCATATTGCACAGGAACACAAAGTCAAGATTGCGTTGAGTATGTTTCGGGAAGGTTTGGGAGTCGTCACCGCTCGTCAGGGTAACGAGAACCATCCCGTGCCGCGGCGAGCTGGCAGGTGACAGACACAGCGGGGCTCTTGGGGCAGAGGGGGCTCGTTACCCTGTCTGGAGCTCTCCTTGGAAGTTGGGTTTAAGGGAATCCCGTGGGGAACAGGCTGAGGGGCTGGTTCTCGTTAGTGGGGAGGGGTGACCGGTAGCCGTCGAAGTTGCGCGGGATGCTGCCGCTGGTGGAACCAGAGCTGTTACTGAGCGTCTCTATGCTTCCCTCTCGCTGAAGCTCTGCAAGGGGAAGAGAGAGCAGGTCCTGGTTAGTGTTTTGGAGGAACCCAGAGAGGTCAGACAGGGGTTTTATTGACACATCTCTTTGTGGCAGCGTTGCTCTAACCTTTGCTCATCACCCATCTTTTCTGGGGTGGGCTGGGAAGCAATCCTGAGGCATTCCAGCTCCTGGTTCTACCGCTCTGCTGAGCTCCCATCTCCCAGGATGGAGACATCACCTGCTGCCTGGCAGAGCTGTCCCTCTCCTGGGGATGAAGCCACCGACCCACAACACGTCAGGACTTGGTAGCGGGGATGGCCATGACTGAACTGAGCGAGGTGTGAGTGGGATGGTGGCAGGTGATGGAATATTTTCCCTCCCCACGATTCTGGGAAGGGGAACTGGCAGCAGCCACTTACTGGTGGTATGTCCCAGAGTGCATAACCACTGCCATTCTCTACCTTGGGAACACCAGGGACTTTCCACAACCCAAACGGACACCAATAACTCTGCTGTTTCAAGTCAAAGAGAAAAATATCCCCTTTCCTGAGCTGTGCCTCAAAGCAAAACAGAAAGCAGCCTGGCTGTGACTCTTCCCTGTGCTGGTCACACACATCCAGACACCTCCCAAAGCCTTAACTGCTCCCTAATCTTGAAGCAGGAGGATTTTTGTGTGTGCAGGGCACTGTTTCCAACCGTGGGCTCTCTGTGAGCCACTCAGAGCCAGCAGTTTCCTCAGGGGCAGTGAGCAGCATCCCTGGGCAGCACTCAGCGGTGGCATGCAGCGGTGAGATTAGGCAGAGCCCCACGTACACCACAGGAATCCTCTCCCAGACTACAAGAAATACTCTGGTGAGCTAAGACACACGGCCTGGGCTGGAGGGCACGGCACGGGGACTGGAGCTAGGGGCAAATTCCTCTGCTGCCAAGGGGGTTAAAGGACCTAAAGTAGCTACAGGCTGGAAAGGGACTTGTTACAAGGGCATGGAGTGGCTTTAGACTGAAAGGAACTAGGTTTAGATGGGATATTAGGAAGGAATTCTTCCCTGTGAGGTGCTGAGGCACTGGCACAGGTTGCCCAGAAGCTGTAGCTGCTCCATCCCTGGGAGTGTTTCAGGCCAGGTTGGATGGGGCTTGGAGCAACCTGGGCTGGTGGAAGGTGTCCCTGCCCATGGTAAGAGGTGGAATGAGATGATCTTGAAGGTCCCTGTCAACCCAAATCATTCTCTGGTTCTACATAAGGCACGGGGTGAACCCCTGGAGGACACAGGCAGCTTGTCCTGTCCCTGCAGTCAAGTTTTGCTCGGGTGGAAAGGAGCTGCAGGAGCTGGAAGAACTATCTCTGCTAAATGTTCCTACACCTCTGCCACTTCCACTGCCTCACCTGGGATATTTAACCTCCTGCAAACACCCTCCTGCTGCAGTGGAACTCTGTGATAAGGACAGATTCATACAAAAAGTGCACAGAAGAGCAGAAAAGACAGTTCTTCCCTAAACCATAAAGCATCCCAGCCCAGCATCCCTGGACACTGCCCTGCTCCCCTCACTGCCTGAGCAGGGCCAGCAGCCTGGTGAGCACACACCTACCAGGGAGGCTTTAATCCTTTATCCTGGAGGTAACCTGCAATGGAGATAATCTGCCCAGGATACAAGGAAAATAAGCAAGCTGGTGAGTCACCGTGTAAGCAGCAATGAGAATGACCTCAGCTGCATTCACCACCATTTCTTGCCAGTATTTGCTGAAGGAATGTCCATGTCTAAACCCTCTTCATTTTCCTCACATCCTCACTCTCCCATGAGTTCAGGAAGTACAAACAGTAATTTAAATCAGAAATGAGTGGCGTATCCCACACTAATACTGTGCTTATCCTGTCTGATTTGGGGCTTTTATCTCCCTCAGCACACAGCTGGCTTCGGTTAAACGTCCCACGTCAGAGCTCGGGGCGCTGAGCTGGCTGGGCTGGGCTCCCCCAAACAGCAGCACAGCTCCTCGTGGGGTCACCTCCCTCTCCTTTCAACCTAGGATTGATTTTCAGGTAAACAACTGTGGCAAAAAAAGGGAGAGAGTCTGAACGAGGAGCGTTTCTTTTCCCTGTAGCTCCCGCCTGGCTGTTTCTGCCCCTCAGGGCTGAGCTGCTGTCCTGCCCTTCTGTGTGGGACCCCACACCCTGCCGGGATGGGAAATGTGGGTTTTTCTGGGGGCTGCAGGATTTCTGCAGCCTGCAGAGCTGTCACCTCTGCGGGGCCAGCCAGGGGGTGGCACTGCAGAGACTGATGCCAGCCAGGGAAAACAGCACAAACTCGGGGAGACACAGGGGCGCAGGGTCAGGATGGGCTCTCAGCCCACAGCTCTGAGCGTGGCTCCCTCAGCTCCCCTGCCTGCTGCCAGGCAGGAAAAACTGACAATCTGCCACAGGGAGAGGGACGAAAGAGACTGGAGAAGAGGTGCAGAGGCTCGGGAGGAACCGGAGGATGTTTCCCATCCCTCCAGCCCATGCTGAGTTCAGAAGGGTCAGGCTAAAACTTGGGGAGCTCCCACATCTGAGCTGCCATCCCAAGCTCTGTGGATGGTAAAGGTACACATTCCCCATGGAATATGAGTCCCAAACATCCCAGCAGTGTGAGCCCTCTTGCTCTGGAACTAATTACCCAGCGAGGCAGACGAGCAGTGTATTTTGATACCTAAGGAAACCCAGTAAAACTCCTGAGTGCTGCTGCAGAGAGCACTGCTGTGCTCAGGAAATTGGGCTCTTGCCCTCACCCTCTCCTGGCTCTTGAGCAGGGCTGGGTCACACGAGGGGTGCAATTAGCCATTACACGGTCACCAGGGACTACCTGCCTGCACATCTGACCCCTTGGATCACAGGCAGCACATTTGCCTACCTTCCCCCAGATTTGTCAGTTTCCTTGATAAAAAATAAAATATAAAAAAAAAAGAATCCAGTGCATGCTATTATTTTTCCCTCCAGCAGGACAGGGCACAGCAGAGGAACATCAATGCCATTCCCAAGGGAAGCTCAGACAAGACTGGGAATGGCTCCATGACGTGGGGACAACATTCCTGTTACGGAGTGAAAAGTGGAGGATGATTTCGGATAGACCTGATGCCTGGATAGAGCCAAGAAGTGCAGAAGAGCCACCATGGCATAGTGGGAGTGTTGGGCATGAGGAGAGAAAGGTCCCTATGGACAGACAGTGCCTTTCCACCACCCTAAGATAGAGCAGCCAAACCCTGTGGCACAGCTGAAGGAGGTTTAATCCTTCCCAGACCTGTATAAGACACATCACATAACTGGTCAGATCACCAAAGTCCTCTGTGCTGGGAACACACTTGCTTAAAAACACAAAATAGAAGCAAACCCAAGGATTCCCCCATGGAAAGATGGGACTGGGTGGCAGGAGAGCCCAGAGCAGCAGGATCAGTGCTCAGCAGTGCAGGACACAACAAGTGATTTCGTTTCCTTCGGTGGAGTTACGCCAGGAATGGACTTGGCCCCAGCCTGTCTGAGGGTTATTGTATCTGCATTCCCCCATGCATATACTGTCGAGATGTATTAACTTCCTTAAATGTACCAGTAAAACAACCTCTTATGATACACTTTAATGAACTTGTACAGTAGCCAACAAATTGTGCATCATATAAAACCCATTCGGCCTTATAGACTCTCTGGCTATTTTGTAATAACTGCAATTTGCTTCTGCTGAAGCAAGATAACCAGGGTTGAGAAGTCAGGCTTTACAGAAACCTAAATATTTGATTTGGGGGGGAGTGGGTGGGAGAAGGAAGAAAGGGGCCTCTGGGAGCTATTTCTGGGGTCAAAATAACATGAGACCTGCTCTTCTCGTAGCATTTCCACCATCAAGGAAATGAAATACTGTGAGAAGACCAGCACTTGCATTATTTTGGCCCCATAAATGGCTCCCTGAGGCTTTCAGAAGCCCGTGAAAAACAAACACAAATACAAATAAATGCTAATACTGGAAACGTAAATACTAAAACCTGCCCAACGTCCCCGGAGGAAACGACTCACAAAGTCCTGCCTGCCGAGGAGCTGCTGGGCTATATCCAAACAAAAAAAAAAAAAAAAAAAAAAAAGACGAAGGAGCTGGAACATCTGCTGAAGCCATGAGGAGAAAGTCACTTCAGGGGAGCTGGGAACAGCCCTGCCTGTGCTTTTGACAGTAACAGTAATGGGCACTGCTGGCATCACCCAGGGTCCCAGAGTAATGGGGATTTTCAGGGCACACACACTTTCCACCGTGGTGGAGGAGGCAGCAAAACTCCTGGTGGGGAGAGAGGGTGGCACGGCAAGGGTCCCCCACCTGCCCGTGGGCAGCTGTCCCCTCCCATGGCCCAGCAGCATCTGGCACACTGCAGGGCTGCAGGAACACTTGGAGAGCAACGAGGCATTGAAGGAGCTGTGAGCAGATGTTGGCTGCTCCCTGCTTGGCATCGCTTCCAGCCCGGCACCGGCACAGCCTCCCGCGGCGCGCACGCCGTGCCATGAGAAATTGAAAATGAAACCTCCCAGCAAACTGTTCTTTCTGCTGATATTCCCAACCAGGCTGTCCTGTCCCTTCGCCCTGAGCTGGCTGCAAGGAGGAGCTGCTCTAGGGACAGCCCAGGGTCTGCAGCTCTGGGGGAGTGATGCTGCCTGATGTCCAGCGAGGTGGCTGAACTCCTCAATTCCAGAAAGCTGCAGGACCTGTCAAAGGAGCCCATCAAATCCAGAAAGATCCAAAGCTCTGCCAAGCTTAAATGTGAAACCATTTTACAGGGCACATTAATTCAATGCCTGAAGAAAATCTATACAGCCCTCTTTTGCCCGGAACACTCATAAATTATGCTGCCTTTCTTATCCTGCTCTCCTGCCGTGGTCCACTCGAAGCCTTGGTATCTCCTTGATGCCTACTCAAAAATCTCCTCTCTGCTGCATTATTTCTTCTAATGGTTTTCTCCTTTCTCTCTGCTTGTTTTCCCCCCTTTTGCACAGTTTCAAAATATCCTCCCAAATCATTT